GCTAGCCAACAGGAATTTTATAACAATCTTAAATCCGTGTGTACCTAAAAGAGTTTTAATGTGTGTGTGTGTGTGTGTGTGTACTGACTGGTTGTTTCAATAAATAAACTGTTTAAGTTAGATATTTTTAATACACTTATTTCAATAGATAGATAATTTTAGTGATATGAATAACATACTTCAGTATATTCTCTGAGCAAAATGGAATTAAGTTAGGTATCAACAAAAACAAAAAATATATATCTAGAACAAAGCCTAATTTTAAAAAATTAAACATTATCACTACTCCAGGTGTCCAATAATTGCTACAAAGGAATAAATTGTGAAAGGCAAAAGCAGTGCTTACAGGACATTTATTGTTTTCACTCTCAACATTTCCTCAGAATTATCTGCAGAAGAATAAAATATGTGTATAAAAGTGTTTTTTAAAAACGAGTAAATGAATAGAGAATTGATTGAAGTTAGGAAAGAAATGGAATAAAAGACAACTACAAGATGACCAAGAATAAATACACTAAAACACAGAGCGAGAAGAACAGGCAGGAGAGGGAATAAAGAGAATATAAATGCCACAAAGAAAGAATTCACAAAGAATGTTTGGCAAACAGAAAGCAGGAATACTGTGATAAACATTCATGTAACTGAAACTCATGAAAAAGAAAATCAAAACAATGGAAGAGAACCAATAACCAACACTACAATGCAAATAAATAAATAAATAAGTAAACAAATCTCTCCAGAGATGAAAGAAAACCTGAAATTGCATTATAAAAAGACATAGTATTTGCCTAGAAGAAAGGTTACCCAAAATGAAGAACTCTAAGACACATCCTAGTAAAAGCATTCAACTGAAACATAAAAGTTCCAAAAAACTTCAGTGAGGAAAAAAAAAAAAAAAAAAGATGAAAGAAATGACAAGAACAAGAGAATTGGACTGGTGTCAAATGTCTCAAAAATCACACACACAGTGATTCAACTTTGAAATAGCCTACTGAAAAAATAGTGAAAGAAAGACTCTAGCAAGAATTTTACATCCAGTCAAACAGTCCTATAAGCCACAAGTCAATGGAAACATGTTTTTGGCATAGAAAAACCTCTCAGTGTGAAATGACAGAAAACTTCAGCAAAAAAAAAAAAAAAATACTAATAATAAGCATTTTAACACATTGAGGGCATATTAAATACTAAAACAAAGATTGAGATAAAAGTGTGAAACTAGTTTAAAACTGTTATTTGTTCTTGCAAAGCAAAAAATATGCTAAGTGTAAATGATAAAAGAGAAGAGAAGAATAGAAAAAGCTCACTGTGGTGTGGACAATAGGTATGAGTTAAAAACTAACAACTGATAATCAAAAGCAAAATATTGAAAAAAACTAACAAAGACTTAGGTCATTAAGAAAGTTAAAGTTACAAGGTAAGCTAGGCAAAAAACAGAAAACATCTAAAATATTAAAATAAAAATGTTAATTATAGTTCAAGGAGTCCATGTCTCACATAGACACAAAGCAATTATAATTAAATATTATCTTAATGAGGCAAAATCTACAGGAGAAAAAAGGAAACATAGATAGTAATATTGCAAAAACTTAAAAAATAAAAGAAAATCATTAAATTTTGGGTTCAAAAACTAGAAAAAGAACAAAAAAGTAAAACAATAAAATACAAGGAAGGTTATAATAAAGATATTGTAGAAATTATGGAACAGTTAATAGGAAAACTAATGAATGAAAATCCTAGATTTGGAGGCATTACCAACATAGAAAAAGCACTATCCTTAATTTTCTAGATTAAAAAATGTCTGGGGGTAATAATACAATATATAAAATAGGAATAACAAATGGGAAGTAATGTTTAAACAATAACTTTTTAAAAATTCTAAAAGACTACTTTGAAGACATCTTTGCAAATCAACTTGAAAATCTTAATAAAACGTTTTATTTTCCTAGGGAAATACAGATTACCAATTCCACCCTGTTTGACTAGAAAGCATTAACTAACCAGTTTCCATAAGAAAACAAAGTGATTATTCCCCAAAAGTGTAAGACCTGGGTGGTTTTACAATGGAACTCTACAGACCCTCCAAAAGCCAGATGTTGCTAATGCCCAATAAATTGCTGGACCTTTGCAGATAAAGTAAAACTCCTTCATGAAACAAACATAAACATAATACCTAAAAAGATGAAGATAGTACACCAAAATAAAATGGAAGATATATAATACTCATGAATTCCAAAGCAAAATACTAAATAATATATTAGAAAACAGAACGCAACATCTCATTAAGTATATAATATATGATGACCAACAGGGCTTATTCAGGTAAGCAAATTGTTTCAGTTCATATTATATACCATGTTAATAGTCCTAAGGAGGAAAAAACCAACAATCATTTTCAGAAATGCTGAAAAAGACTGACAAAATTCAATACCAATTCCTGATTTAAAAATAAAAGCAAGGAAATTAAGGGATAATTTCTTAATGTGAATGTGCATATGAAGAAATACTACAGTGATTTCCACTAAGGTCTAAAACAAGACAAAGTTATCCCTTATCCACAGTCGCCACTATTCATACACATTAGTGAATACTATCAGATAAGAGACCTCAATGAGTTGCACATGAACTGGCAAAGAAAAAAATAAAATTATTTGCATATAGCATAATAGCATATACTGAAAACTCTGATATTCAATGTTTGAATTAAATATATATATATAAGTAAGGTAGAAGGAAGGTAGCAGGATATATAATGAGCATTTATAAATCAATAAGATTTATATACAACAATAACCAGTTAGAGCACATTATGGTTAAAAAATACCATTTACAGCAGAAAAAATAAATAGGTAGAAATCAATTTAAGAATATAAAAAATCTGTATGAGTAAACCTTTAAAATATTCCCTAAAGGTACAAATTAAACATGAAGAATTGGAAAGTCAGCCCATGATCCTATATTAAATGATTCAATGTTATAAAAATGTTAGTTCCTTTACATTTAATTTATAAATTTAATACAATTCCTAATTAAAATACCAAGTTTCCTTATTATTGGACTAAACTTGTTGATAATAAAGTTCATATATTTTTTAAAAATACAAGAATAGCCAGAAAAACTGAAAATGGAAACATACAATGAAAATATGAAAAGGGACTGGTCTCACAAGACATTAATACTAAATGTTTTAGTTTCAGTATACTGTTGAATCTCTATTATCAATCTAATTATAGTGGCAAATAAATAGAAAAGCAGATGAGAGGGTGAAACAGAAAGATCATATATAACCAAATTACTTATTAAAATGTAATATATGATAAAGTTGATATCTCAAATAATAGAGACAAAGATTGTTTTCTAACAAAAATAAATAAATTCTAAAAAAATAAAGTTTGAAAAAAAAAAGATTGATTTTTTAAAATAAGTGATGCTGAGTCAACAGAAAAGCCTATTAGAAAAAATAAAAATTAGATTCATACATCATACCATACAACAAATCCAAATGGATCAGGAAATTAAATATAAAAAAAACATACAAGTATGTATGAATTCCACTCTAAGTAGACTATAACCAGTGACACTTGAACCAACTGTATTGAAAATGAATAACAACCACATTGAAGAGAACAGAGATGAAAATAATTAACAGCCTAAGTAACTTTGAGGATCAGTATTTTGAATGCATGCTACAAAGCTAAAATAAAAAATAATTGTATATAAATATCTTATTCTACTTAATTTGTTTTCAAAGACATGTATTACAATTCTAAACATGTGTATTTACTGGAATTGAACCTATAATAAAACATATGATGGATAAATGTGTGTCAAGAGTGTCATTGATTGGAAAAAGAAGTTAAAACTAAGGAGAAAAGCTAAACTGAACCCTGCAGTGTTCAGATTAGAATCAGAGCTCTCAGTATGAATTCATAGTTTATAATACATGTACAAAGGGATATAGAAATACAGATGCCTGTGAATGTGTGTGCACAATATATATTTTCTACTTCTGCCCACTGAGTGGGTCAATAAACAATGACACTCAATATTAATGAATACACCTACTGCCCAGATTGTGGTCCTAAATAGCATTCTGCAAGAAAGGAAAGAGGGTTCCTTGGAGAAATGGTGAATTTCACTGCTGGATCAGGATGAGCTTGGAATGTCTTATGTGCTAGAAAGAAAAAATATGCTAAGAATATGATGGGGACATATGAAAGAATGTATAATAGAATATCTATTTAATTTCTCTATACTACTAACACAAAATTAGAAAATAATTTTTAAATGTATTAACATGTGCATCAAAACTTCAAACACATATACTTAAATCTAGTAAAATAGACTTAATACTTCTTCACAGGAAACATTTATAAAACATAAATATATACATTGAGCAATATATGACAAATATGATATGATAAAAATTCAACAAGGTAAAGATTCAATTTCCTTATAATTTGCCATATATTTAATGCAATCTCAAAAAAATATTTGCTGATTTTTTTGTTTGTTTTCAAGATTTATGGTGGGGATGGGTGCTTAGAAGTTAATTATGTTATAACATTTACACATAAATGGAAATGACTTAGGATAACAATCTTAAAGAAGAACAAAATAGGATTATATATACTATATAAAATGTAAAGGCTTATAATACTACACCAGTTTAAACTGTGTGACATGGGCACAAAATTAAAATTCTTGCTTACTTTTCATATATTCTCCTTTATGAAATATCTCTCTGCTTCTCAGTTTCATTAAACTTTGCTGTTACACCTATCACTGTAGCAGTTGTAAAATAATTACAGCAAAAATGTTTACGTGCCTTTCTTCTTACATCAGACTGTGAACCTCTCAAACTACTGTCATTCCAATTAATAACTGTCAAACCCAACAGTCTGACAGATACCACTCGGGGAATATGTGATCTATAATTAAATAACATCAGTAAATATGGTTTTCACAGTCCCCCAGGTCTCAGAAAGATAACTGAAACTTACCTCCTATATCTGGACGAAGTTTATTGTCATAGCCTTGGAGCAACGAATTGAGAATTTGTGTTATATCTCCTTCATGAATCTTTGGTGCCAAGACCCAAGTTTTGTTCACTGTTAAATCCTCATCATCTTCATCATCTGCTTTATCAACACTAAATAATCCCCAAAATAAAAAAGGATGATAGAAAGTTCAATCAAATTGTGTATTTCGAAAAATAGTTGAAGATTATTATACTTTTGTTAGAGTGGGAGAAAAATTAGAAATATTATATAATCAGTAAGACTAGTGTCTTCATCATATGAGCTCTACTAATATAAGAACACTCAAAAATTAAAAATTTGTTACAAAAATATAACAAATAAGATTAAAATAATAAAAGAATTATTGGCCACCCCACAATTATCACTAAAAGCCATGGAGATTATGCACTGAAATGTGAATGGTATTGTTAGATTTGTTTAGCACACAATCTGGACAACCATATGAGGTGACTCTAAACCACCAAGACCAAAAATAAAAATCAAAAGATAAATAAATACAGGAAAAGTTGTAATGATTAGTATGGCAAAATGTATAACAATGCTTGTATACAAAACAAGAAGTAAGGAAAGATGACTGCTGAAACAGTTGAAGTATAAAGAAATAAGCATTGAATACATCTATGCTTTTTCCTTTTAAATCTGAAGAACCCAGACATTCCAAAAACGTTTCAAAGATTGTCTTATCAGCAGATCAAAGGTGAGTGACTCGCCCTCCACATATTTTGGGGGCATGAATCTCAAATTTTAGGATGAGAAGTTAGAAAATTAGGCATCAAATAGCCCACTGCCTTTAAAATGCAAATGAGAAAACTGAAGATAGTGGGGAACTGACCAAGCACAACCTTATTTATTAGCAAAACTCAGAATCAAGTTCTAACTCTCCAGTTAATTCTTCTGGCTACACCTGTGTGTTCAACAACCATAAGACTTCAGCTGACTTCTGAATTGTGGTAGAAAATGCAGTAATATAGACATTCATCTACAATTAATCAAAAGTAACAGGCCTTATTACCCATCAGGAACTCCATCTTTATTTGAGGAAGATCATCCTACTCTTAACACACCCTACTTTAGTAAACCTCACTTTTCCAGTAAAAAAGAGAACACTGAACACTTAAACTAGTAAAGTCACAGAAATTCATAATATAATAGTTATTTCCATATATTTCAAAGATTGGCTTCTGTCACTACTGAGCAGAAGGTTTAATGTCAGTTCATGGTTCCCCACATATCTCTTGTCCTTCTGCCAGAAGACTAGCCATACTCAAGACACAGGCTACTCCATTACTTCACTCTGGGAGTGAAGGTAACATGGACAGAGCCACGGTTGACATACAATGTACATGTAGCTTAAGCAAGAAATAAACATTTAGTGTTGTGAGCCACTGAGAATTGGGGGTAGTTTATTACTACAGTATACAACTTTTATTTCTATGTAAACTACTAGGGTGCATTTTAGTTAACAGATTTTTAATGAAGTGCTCATGTATATGTATTTTTATGCCATATTTAACTTCAAAAAATATATACTACTTGTACAGTTGTATGATTTTCTTTACATATGTGTATTTTTTTACAGTAACAATATCGTAGTATTCAAGAAAGCACATACCCCTAGTGATTTTTTCCCCCTTTTCCTAGCTAGCTCAGAAGTAAAAATTGCCCTTGATGATATCACAGCTATCTTTCCTCATTTTGGTCAATAACAGGAAAAAAATGTTTTAAGGTGAACTTTTCCACATTTTCCTACTAAACTTTTAAATTATCTTCAAACTATTAATTAAGTACCTTAAATATCACATTGGTATTATTTTGGTGATTAAAACCTACTTGTCTTAATTTAAAAAATAGTTTATATAACATACCTGATGTCTCAATGTCTACCATAGGCTGAAAGATTTTTGCAATATTTACATATATTGAGTTCGAGTGTTCATTTAGGGAAAATGATTATTTTATGTAACATTGAGAAATTCTAGACATGCTCAAGAACTTCTTTTAAATGATGAATACACATAATTTTATCATTAGTGTAAATATATTTAGGTTTTTTAATATTTTAATTTACTAACTATTTTAAATATTGATGTTTTATTTTTATTACCTACTACTAAATGTTTATATGCACTATTAAGTTCCTACATTGTTTCAGAAACTGTGTGTTAAATTCCTTTCACATATATCATCTAATCCAGAGTAATTCCGTGAAATAAATATTAATATTTCTATTTTACACATGAGAAATAGGTTCATAGAATTCTCAGGACATACACTGTTAAATAGTACAAGCCAGGATTTAAAACAATATTGATTTAATTTGAAGACGTGTTTCCTCTTTCCTTTGAAGTTTCCACAATATCATATCATTTTATCTTTCTTTTCTTTAAAAATTTTTTTAAAAATGTTTTATTAAATTTTTTTGATTAATTCTCACCCAAGGATATTTTTACATTTATTTTTAGATAGAATGGAAGGGAGGTAGGGAGAGAGAAAGGAACATCGATGTGAGATAGACTAATTGATTGGTATGCCCCCTACTAGGGATCCAGCCAGCAACTCGGGCATGTGCCCTAACCTGAAATCGAGCTAGCAGCCTCTTGGTGCATGGGTCAGTGTTCAATCAACTGAATCACACCAGCCAGACTTATTTTATCTTTATTCCTAATTCATAAACACACACAACAATTATGCCAAGTAATCTGAAGTTCATTGGGATTGTTCATGGGTAGGATTCTTTGTCTCTGCCTTTGAGTTCTGATACGTTACAATAATAATTTCAAAGAATCGCACACTCTCTGATGAGTGTGCTCTATATCCAATCCAATGCTTTAATTCATTTATAGAGAAAATACCATGCACTGCAAATGTGCTAAGTGCTGAAATACAGAGACAAATAACATTACATTCCTAATCTACATAATCTTATTTTTAATAAAGGAGAAAACTAATCAAATGGTACAGAAAACCAGCATATACGAAGATGCTTATCACAGTATTATCTATGGTAGCCAAGTTTTAAACATTATGAGTATGTTTTAAGTAAATTATGATGTATTCATATGATACAATGGTTGCAGTTGATTGTGAAGAGTGTCAAAAGTAAAATTATTTTCATAATTTAATATGAAAAATAATATATAACAATTTACTTTTGTGAAAACTAATGTATAAAATGGCTAAAGATTTAATGGGAAAGCAGCCTAATAAATACACTAAGTGTGCTACAATAGTGGAGACATACAAAATTTATTTATTTTTGTATATTAATAGTATACCATAATCTTTCTGTATAATTTTGTAATATAAATACATAAAATCGAGTTAATTTGACATTAATGCCTCTCTTTTTCTATACACCATGAGACAGAGATAGTGCTATGAAACAAATTTCTAATCATAAAAAAATAAATAATTAAATACAGCCTTTTACAGAGAGAAGCAGAGCTTTATAATTTGCCAAAAAATCAATAGTGGCAGCCCTGAAAATTCACAACTCGATTCTCCTGCCATGGGGACCTAGGTGATTGACAGCCCAATCACTAGTTCTCTGGAGGAGTCCGGTGTTTGCACTAGACTCAAAGCAAGTCAAACAATTAATATAAACTATTTTCACACATAGGGTAAACATTCATAGCGTTTTACCCAGGATGATCTGGTTTACACCTGTTTTCCTGGAATAATTATTGAAAGCACCCTCTTTCACTGGCAAAGTGAGCTAATTTGGATGATAAATTATATAGTCACCCTGAATATAGTTCATATAAAGGTGACTGTGAATGTCCTGGTTCTGACCCCTGGGGAAGACTCTTCCATTAATCCATTAAGAAAAAGCAGATGAAACTCCAAAGCCAGATCTCATATGGGATCTGTTGCTCATGGCAAGTTAAACTGTGTTCATTTGTTAACATCAGCTTCTGTAAGCATAGCAGTCAAGTACAAGTTTCAGTAAAGAAACATACCTGTTAGTATGTTTCAGAGGAGAAGATACCCTAAGTGTCAAAGCCTACAAAGTACTAGCTGCTAAAGAGTAGCTATAAGCACTGATTTTAGATCTGGAGGTCAAAGAAAATAAAAGTAAAAGAAGAAAGTTAAAAAAAAGACAGATTTTGTTATTTTCTTTTCACCTTTATATTGTGGTTGCTAAATTCTTTTGTACAAAAACTTCTTTCTAGGGTTGTAGGTCTGAATCTTGTTTGTTTCTCATAAAAGTTGGTAGGGAAATAAACTATCTGAAAAAGTGACATAACAGAGTGATCAACTTGAACTTTCAGAGTTTTAGAGAAAAAGTACATAACAGAGTGATCAACTTGAACTTTCAGAGTTTTAGAGAAGTAAAGTAAATAGTCCACTGAATTCAGAGATTATTTTATTAACACAAAGGAATATGGGATCGATCATTTAACACACAGAGAGAGGAATGCCTTGAAATTTAGGAGGGAAAAGGGAGCCAAGCCAAGAAAATAAGTAGCTGTTCTCTTCTATGTGTTTCCAAGCTGTTCAGTGCTTAACTCCACCAGGAAGTTGATCACATTGCATCTTAATTGACTATTCTATTTATGTGGGGTCTTCTCTACACTCTTGCCAGCCATTCAGTGTTGCATCATTAGCACCTAGTCCAGTCCTGGACAAATGAGAAGGTCCAATAAAAACAAGTTCACTGAATAAATTAATAAACGGAAAGAATATTAAACATCATCTTGCTGTTTACAGGAAAAATTACAGAGAATGAAAAAAATAAGCACTGAAAACTATTATTATTAGCCATAATAAGAGAATTAAATTATTGTAGCTTACCTGGTATAAAATTAGTTTTTAAAACACAGTAGCTTTCTAATACTGTTACTAATGCATCACAAACAAAAAATTGATTTCTTTCACAATGAAAATAATTTAAAAAAATAGAACAGAGCAAGTTTAAGTCTATGTAAAGAAATTTAAAAGTGAATTGAAGAGGATAATAACAGGAAAAAAAGTTAAAGTAAGTGTTTTTGCTAAATAATATTGTTAATATAACATTCCCAAATTAGCTTATAAATTTAATGAATTTTTAATCAGAATCCCATATTTCATTGGTCTTAGGTTAAAATCATTATAGCGAAGTAGGAGAATC